CTGCAAAGGTGTAATAGTGTGTGTGAAATGTTCGTGCACATTGAAGTCTCAACCGCTCTGAGAAATTAAATGAAAAAAGGTAAAGCTGTCCTGCTTAATTAAGCGTCATTTTGCTAGGCAACGGCTCGGTAAACATGTTCCCGCGGCACTGAATCCACACGCAACAATGTAAGACTTTTTGACGACCGTTTTCTATGTTGTCCGTGTGCGTATCAAAGGAATGTAGACAATTAGCTCTTGTTAAACATATGTACGATATTCAGGAAGTAAAGAAATTCGAGATTTGAGGTTCTCACTGGGTAACTCCTCTAGGATCTGACGCCGTGTAATCTGGTAACGATGTTTCGGAGAATTATGTCGCCCATCTGTTTCGAGGGCAGAACAGTTCCTGATGAGGGAGAGCAACTAATTTCTCATAAATTCTATGTCACGAGCACGATAAAGAAATTTCAGCAAACATATTTCTATATTATTCAAAAATATATTGGAGTTTATGAACACCAATTTCTCAGTGATTTATCTTAATAGGATTTAATATTCTTACACTACAATCTATTTTCGAAGAGTCATCAGTTAAGCCCAAGGACAGCTCTACCTCTTTTACTTTAAATATATTCATGATATACGACTAGAAGTGACAGTTTTATTGATAAATACTTTATTTAATAAGACATATGAATATTTAATATCCTTTGATTTAAAAAAATAAGTATAGTAATAATATTTAAATAATTAATAAAATACATCTTCATAATTATATCAATTACCAAATTAACGCAGTTTGAATTAACTTTATGCAGAGTATCCTGTCCACTCAAGGACTGCTGCCTTATCGTAGTGGGGGGATTTTCTCATCCAAATGATCCGGAGAGTTATGCTGGCGGGGGCGTAAGCTCCTGGTAGAGTCACCCATGTCACGTATTTGCACGTTCATTTTCAATATATTATCTTCGGCACACATCAGGGCGAACTGATAATTGAAACTCTCCAAGTTGTCACAGCTAGTAAGTTGGTTGAAATCGATTATATAGTTTCGCATCGCAGATATGACCTCCAGGTTCGCGATTCGTACCCTGTAAGTGAACTTAGGGGTCTTCTCCTCGAGCCCAACGTGAAACACACATGTGTAAAGCGTACTGTCTCTGACTGTACACACGTGAACAAATACTTCATCACAAAATAATATTGGTCTACACCAATTAGAAGTAGTTTCCTTTCCAAAGTTTGTCAGTGAGGTTATGCTATTCTCAGTTTCTCGATGCAGAGATTTTCTATGGACAGTAACCAGGTGTTTAATCAAGCCGTTTAAGAGATATTCCGTGGTACAATTCTGCACTAGGCATTTGTAAGGGCGCCATTGGCATTTCGCTTCATGTTCCATGATATTAACCAACGTAAACGCCTTGTTGCAGCCAAATTTACGGTTCCTACATGCAACTTTAAGTTTGCCTGTTACAGACTCCAGTGCTAGGTTTCTCGTTTGCATGAAGGCTGATCTGCAGAGTGGACATTTCTCCAGTTGTGCTTTGCACTTCCCGCACACGTTGTGACCGTTCGTGCACAGTACTATAGGCTGTCGAAAATACTCCAAGCACACAGGACATTCGAGTTCCTTCAGAAGCTCCTTTGTCAGGGTCGCCATCGTATATAGATTTCCAGCCCTCACCAGCTTGTCCCAAAAATAGCTGAGGACTCTGGAAATTGAAGCAAGAATAGTGTGAGCTTATATGAGTTGACAGAACTGTCCGGTGTTCTCGATATATTGCTAATGTTTGTACTCTCTTATCGATAATTTCTCTAATCCTATAGAAACTGCTGAAGAGAGAGACACAGGGACTGAACAGAACGGGTGTTCTCAACCCATGCACCGCGAGCTTTTTTCAAGTGGTTCCCGAGGGAGTGAAAAGGAAAAAAATATATATTCATTCATTCATCTGTAATCTGTCAAGACGACAGGTCCACAGTCTCTTCCAAAACAGTTCCTCCACTTGATGCGATCTATAAATTTTAAAAAATAGGTAACGGTGCCCCTGTGTTTAATTAATTAAGAACTGCGACATAAAGACCTTTTGGGGAGTGGAGCTACAGTTCCACAATTCTTGACTTCGGCACAAGATGGAAGTGAGTGGTTACCTTCCCGGTAAGCTCCCGGTATCCATTGGATAGAAGACTGGATGGGCCCCAGGGTCAGCCTTGGCGCCCAGGACAAAATAAGAATCTTACCCTTACCGGGAATTGAACCCCGGCTGTCTAGCCCGTTGGTATACCGACTAAGCTATACCGACTCACAAAATTAAAATTAATAATTGCTAACATAATTCCCCGAACAGCCTAAAAGTTCTTCCTTTGTTTTGTGTGTTCACTTTCCATCCTCGCTTCTTCTTCAAGGACTGTGATCCCTTTTCTGGCCAAAAAATCGCGCACGACCTTCGATTTGTGGGGTGGGGCATTGTCGTGCAGGAGCGACCAGGAAACTTTCTGTCGATAGTCAGCTCGAATTCGACGAATTCTCGCCCACAAACGATTGAGAACTCCGAGATAATAATCAGAATTAATTGTCTGACCTAGCAGAAATTCCTTGTGAATGGTTCCTTTGGAATCGAAGAAAACGGTTAGCAGTGTCTTTGCTCGACTCTTTTGCATGCGCACTTTCTTTGGTTTCGGCTTCTTTGGGCTCAACCACGCTGCACTCTGCCGCTTTGTGAGAGTATCATATTGAAAACACAATGTCTCTATAACAATTTTTTCATGTATAGTCGTTCCTGCAATATTATGGTTCTTCGTCAGGAATTTAAGACGTTATAATGTTGGTATACTGATGGAAGGAATTTATGAAGTGCTCCGTTGAGATTGACTCAGCTGGCATGGAACACATACCGAGTTTCATGATGATCGGTTCAGGGATTTAAGTGATATTAAGTTTGTTACTTCAACAATACGGAAGACTGCAATGTTGGTATTACTGATCG